AATGGCCTGCCATGTGGTTTGGTAACATCAGGACTGTGCCATTTTATTTGTCAACCTTGGGCTTGTTAGCCTCAGCAGCCAGTAGCTGTCTGAGTGAAGAGATGCCTCTAGCTTCATTGGGCTGAGAATAAGAGGCAAAGCTGAAGCCCAAGGTGGAGGGGCTTTCACCCAGTCCCTAGGGCCTGGCACTTTAAACTCGGACTTAAAGACTCCAAATTGTAAGAAGAAACTCCTGTTTGTTAAGGCCATCCCATTTGTGGTATATTATCGTCAGAGCAGCACTAGTTAACCAAAGCAATATTGGGTTTTTCTACAATTTGGAATTTTTTTTTGTGGGGGTGGGAGGAGGACCTGTAAAACTATTTTCTATGTGAGTGTCCTTTAAGGACAAGATGCTCTAATGTAGCCAGAACGAGACCCACTAATAATTAAAGCAAACTAAACGTGTTCTAGTAGGCACATAAATGCTAGTGAGTGGGAGGGTGGAGCACTTGAGAGCAAGGAGACCTGCCTTCTTCCAGCCCACTGGCTCTGATTGGCAGTAGAGGATCTTATATGGCCCCCTTGACTGTAAACCTCCAGGCCTATAGTAGGGAGCTATCAGGCTCCTTTTTATAGCATGTTTTCCCCCACCCCCAATCAGATACCACTTACAATATTTGGCTAGTTTCATGTCTCTCCATCTTTAACATGTTGTGAACCTCAATCATGAGAGCTGTTTTGTCTTCTTCATCCTCTCTTAGAACTGGCCTATTTATCTTCCCAGGCCCTTTTCTAAGAGCAAAGTCAGTTTTGTTACCCAGATATTTTATAGGGAGGGAAATGAGGAAATGTGGAGGTCAGGAAAGTGTTTGACATCTCTTCTTATTCTACTCTTAGAAGATAGGGCACAGCCTTGTCTGAACTTTTATACAAAGCAGACTGGGAATATAGATGTGACCTGAAGCCCATCTTAAGCCTCCTTCTCAGAATCGTTCTCTTTCTACTCCTCTCTCTGATTCTTGCTCTTATATACTTTACATTTTTAATGCTTAGCAGTTTGCCAAGCACATCCTCATGCTATTTCATGTCCTCACATCCCTATGGGATTGTCAGGCCTCATACCCATCAAAGAGGTAAAGGAATTTGCTATCAAGTGGAGTAGTTAATACTTGAATTTGGCTCTGCTGGTCCATCAGCTGATGCTTTGACCACCCCACCAGAGCTCTTTGCTGTGCTCAGGACTGAGGGATGGTTAAAAAATGCACAAGTCTGAAAAAACAATAGCCAAGATCCAGCACTTACCACGCATATGTGTTTAAATCTTAAGAAGCACCATTAGAGATGGAGGAACAGAACTGCAGATTTTAATCAGGATGAAATTAGTCAGCAGGGGAGGAAAATGCTTTCTAAGTATCTTGGCTTACGTCACCGTAAGATCTCAGTCAGAACTGCACTGCGCACCAAAGGCACCACTGGGGCTTTGCATTGTTCCTCAGCCAGAGGAAGGAAACAGCCAGAAATCTGAGCAGAAGATGCTTTGGATAAGTTACCTGGCTCCTTTCAAATGCCATGTCTCACCTGTAAGGAGGATCAGCAATGTGTCACCCCACCCCAGGGCCTATACTATTGAAACATTGAATTTCATATAATCTATCTCAGCAATATGTCAACCCAAGGAGACTACATTATGCTTTTGAGAACAATTCTTAAAACGAGAAAGGAAACATGAAGAACCACTTCAGTGAAGTCCAAGGGATTCCAAATTAATATTTTTGTGTGTAACTCCCCATTCCCTTCTCCTCCCAACCCGATAACCACTAATTTTCTTTTGTCTCAATAGATGTGCCTAGTCTAGATATTTCATATAAGTGAGGTCACACAATATTTGCCCTTTTGTGTCTGACTTAGTCAGTGTAACATTTTCAAGGTTCATCCATGTTATAGTATGTATCAGAACTTCATTTCTCTTTATAGCTGAGTAATATTCCATTATGTGGACATACCATTCATCTGTTTATCCATTCATCTGTTGGTGGACACTTGCATTGTTTCCACCCTAGATTAACATTTGACCATGACTTTGTTCCAAGCGAGAATGCTAAACTGTATGTCAAATACAAAGATTTTGCTCCTGCTTTGGCTTTATAACTTCCCTTCCCAAGGCTTTGCCTATGGTGTTATAAAATTCCTTTTCCTTTTATTACAAGAAGCTCTAATGTTTACATTTATTACATGAGGACAAGCAATGCAAATATAAGGGAAATCTCCTCCATGATCGTTTTTGCACTGTCACTCGGTCGTGGGACTGAAAAGCAATATGGGAGTTTGAAGTAAAGTAACAAAGAATTGTTAGAAACTACAGCATTTAAAAGAGGAGGCCTTGGACCACCAAATCATTGTCTTGCCCTCTGAAATGGGCAGGCAGAAGCTGGCCTGAGATTTCTCAGTGAATATTTTGCCCCTTCCTTTTTTTGTTAGAATCACCTATCATGCAGAAAATCAATGTGGGTTTGGGTAGGAGTCTAAATGCTTCAAAAAGGGCTCCTGAGATAAACCCAGGTCACCA